TGCAGCAAAATAACCCTTTTTCTCCCAAGTTGCTTTTGGTCAGAGTGTTTAGCAAGAGAAACCTAACCAATAAACAACATTTGATAAATGTTACTTTTTAAGGTTATTGCAAAATTTAAAGCCTTTCAAGTGTTTCTTGGGTAATAAATAGACTATACACAGTGAGAAATATTCTGAAGTCTTCTTCAATTCCCTTTGCTTCTAAAGGCACACATAAAAATAGCCATGTACCTAAGAGGAGTAAAAACAATTTCTCAAAACATAACCAGAAAAGCAAAGTTTCTTTATTTTTAATATCGAAAGGAGAAAAGAAAAACAAAAGCCATTTCATTTCAAATAAGTATTTCCAATTACATTCATTTACTTAAGAGCATCACACTTACTATGACATGATGGGCATCTTCTCCCATTGTAGGAGAACCTACTTAGTGTCATATCAAAGTCTGTTATTATCTGTGAGAAAAAGAAGGCAAAATGTAAATGAGTGCACCACAATCACAGGCTTGCCATGCTAACCAAACGCACATCTGGAGGCTTGCTTGCCCCTGAGCTGCCTGGGAAGTTCCTCACCTAAACCTGCAACACACTGATTTGAGCGATTAGTTTTTCAATTAAAAATTGTGTGTGTGAGTGTGTGTGTGTGTGTGTGTGTGTAGGACAACTTCCAGGAGTCGGTTCTCGTCTTCCATCTTGTTCTGGTAGGGTCTTACTTGTTTCTGCAGCCCTGTTCTGAACACCACTTAAAGAGATAATAAATTAGCAGCTGGGTAGTTCAATAGCAAAGGGATTCTTATAATGAAGTTGGACTAAACAACTGTTTCAGCTCCTTCACATTTAGTCTGTGATTCTCTACTTCCTGGGATAATACATGCCCATGATCTTGGGAGTAGGAAGTAAACAAAAATCTAGAAGGCAACAACAAATCATAAAAATCCCAGGCCAATAGTGAGAGAGAACATGTAAAACTCAACTATGCCTTCATAAAGTTGCATGTTCATCTGACATGACTCAGTTAATTAAAATATAGAATAACTTGAAACTGTACTCTTTTAAGTATGACTCCTGAAATGGCTTAATATATGTGTATAGTATCAGTTACCTTAGAACTTAATACTAAAAAAGGCCCAAGTGACAGGCCTGGCAGAACCCAGTGGGAGAATTAGTGATAGCCCGGCAAGGTCTAGAGTTTACCCTCCAGCCTGCTCCATCAGGGCGCATGTGCTGTCTCTGTCTCAAGCCTATTATTTTGTTCTTTGTTTGTTTTCAAGTAGAGTATTTCATGTATTTAGACCAACTCTAGGTGACAGATTTTAGATTTTACACTCCAAAAGTATAGGCAAAAAAAAAATCCATTACTAAGGTTTTGTCAAAACAGGAGAGTAATAAATTTGGCTTCACCCTGCAGTTTATCCATGCCCCGCAGCACCCCATCACTAGCCGCAGACAGACAGGTGAGTCTGCTCCAACTCTCCATACCATACACTTTGATCATACTCTCCCCTCCTCAACTCTAGACCCTTCCCACCTCCAGGCTTTTGTGTGCTCTCTCTCAATAAGCAAACCCAAAATCAATACAAAGAACCTAAAGAAACGAAAATACCAAACCCCACCAAATGTGGAGTCTGTTTCCTGTGACCAGCTGCTCCTGGGTGGGGTGCCCTGGAGCGCGGCCTCCCCTCTCCCAGCAGCTGTCACTGCAAATCTGCGCCAGTTGTTTTAAAAAGCTGGATCACCTGCAGTTTGGCAGCTCCTCCTTTAATGAGACCACAGATGATTTCTTCTACTCTTGTAGGATTCTTGATGCGCACTGAGCTTTTCTGAAATTCTGGCATCTAAAAGTGAACAGAAATGAGCGCCTTTACCTCACTTTCCCCAATTCAGTCATCACCAAGAAACTTGTATTAGAAAGTATAAAAATGCTGAGGCATTGTTTTTAAAAAAGAAAGTCACCATATAAAATTACCCAATGTTGATCTCTGGCCTCCACTTTGTAAGTACAGGCAAAGACCACACCCACCAAGCCTCAATGGACATAAGTAGGGTGTGTCTACTTTGTAAAACACTCCTGCTAGAGACTAGGCATGATATGGACCGAGTTAAGGACCTAATTTAAGGACCACTGCCGTCTTGGAGGACCCCTTCTGCAGCTCCCTTACAAAAAGCTCAGCTGAGAAGAGCATATACTTGATTCAGTAACTAAACCTATCGGGGCTGGTGAAATGGCTCAGTTGTTAGGAATGTTTGCTGTTTTTGCAGAGGATCTGTGTTTCCAGCAGCCATGTGGGATGGCTCATAACTGTTTGTAACTCCTCCTTCAGAGGATTTTAAACCCCTGTACCTGCACTTACATGCAAGTACTCCTCCTACATACATATAATTAATTTTTAAAAATCTTAAATAACTCATTATAGCGAGAGTTAAACAAAGGATTATGTTGCCACAACATTTTCACCAAGAAAATGAAGCAAGGTTCATCTAACAAGAACACCTGGGTCCAGTGCTTCATACCTTTAATCCTACTGCACTCAGGAGGCAGGGGCAGTTGGATCTATGAGTTCGAGGCTAACATGGTCTACAGACGAAGTTCCAGGACAGTCAGGGCTACCTGGGGAAACTTTTGTTTCAAAAAAATCAAACAAAAGAATATTAACTAAGACCACTTGGTGGCGCCCATCAACCACCCTGCTTCTAATCAGGTCTTCACCTACATTTTACATTTGGTATATTATAGAACATTTTTCCTTTTTTAAAAATTGTCAATTATGATAATTGCTACCCTCCTATTTATTTTTAATAACAAGCAAATTTAAAACTCAAACTGCTTCAGAACTTTCGCAGGCTATTATAAGATCATTTTTTCTTAATTATTATACATCAAAGAAGACCAATGGCTGGGGCACCATCCGTGCCTGAGACTCTGAGAATACATGAGCATCCATTCCAAGCAGATACTCAGTGAGCACCCGAGGGCTCTGGAGGAGCAGACGGGTTACAACAAGGAAATGACTGGCATTTTATTTACACCTTTCCAACTGAAGGGTGGGCGATGCAGGTGTTAAGAAATACAGAACAGTGACTATGGCTCATAGGTAGAGTCTTAACCTACCATCTATAAAACCCTGCATTCAATCCCAGCCAAAGAAGAAAGGAAAAAAAAAAAAACACAGAGACAGATACAGATAGACACACCACACTCCTTGGCTGAAACACACAGTTTAAGCTGATATACACTGAATCAAACATTACAGGGTTTATTAAAATGTACATTTCTGCCGGGTGGTGGTGGCACACACCTTTAATCCCAGCACTTGGAAGGCAGAGACAGGTGGATCTCTGTGAGTTCAAGACCAGCTTGGTCTACAAGAGCTAGGTTCAGGATAGGCTCCAAAGCTACAGAGAAACCCTGTCTCAAAAAACCAAAATAAGAGTATATTTCTATGGTTTTATGTACTAGCTAAATAATGAACCAAAGAGTATTTATTTACTTACTATTTTATTTTATTTTATTTTATTATTCTTTATTATTTTTATTTTATTATTCTTTTGAAGACAAGGTTTTGAAGACTGGCCTGGCATACCCTGCGTGGCTTAAGCTGGCCTTGAATTTGTGGCAACCCTCCTGTGTCAGCCTTGAGAAAACTGGGATTACAGGTACATGCACCAAGTCTGACTCCAAGGAATTTTATCATGGGGACTGTGGAAAGCTGCTGGTATTTCCCTAGTGTACCGGGACAGGCTCCTTCCATGGCCTCAGTACCACCATATACAGAAGACAGCTGCTTCCTGGGCCTTTCCAGGAACTCCACACAACTTCTGTCATAGGCAAAGTTGGTGGTTCACACCATTATTTATATAACATTCTCACTAGCCCAGCTGGCTTCAGACTAGTTATGGAGCCAACAAGAATGACCTTGAATTCCTGAGCTACCTGTTTCTACCTCCCCAGCAATGGGATTACAAGTGCGGACCACCGCATTTGGTTTTTTTGTGGTGTTGGGAACTGAACTGAGAGCTTCCTGCATGCTACATAAGTCCTTTACCAACTGACCGACAGCCCCAGCCATTTCGCACCCTTTCCTTTTCTTAATTTTTTTAACATTTGCTTGCCTGCCCTGCCTGACTCCTCATCTGTCCGTCTGTCCATCCATCCACGTGTGTGCATGCTTGTGTGGGTGTAGGTTAGAGGACAACTTTTAGGAGTCAGTTCTTTCCTTACACCACAAGGATCCTGGAGATTAGACTCAAGTGTCATGCTTGATGGCAAAACCCCTCACCCACTGAGCTTTCTCGCTGACTCTGAATGCCCGTCACTTTAAACTACACTTAAAATATTTCATTCTGAATGAATAGCTTACACATGAAAGTGCCAAAGAATACAGAAAAGAATGGGAATCAGGCTGTGGTAGGGTAAGCCTGTAATCTCTGCCTCAGGAGACAGAAGCAGAACCAAGGTCATCGTTGGCTACAAAGTGACTTTAACCAGCCTGAGTCACAGAGACCCAGCCTCAAAGAACAAAACCCAAACTATACATGCACACAGACAAAAAGGGAGTAAGACGGATGTAATGTAGGTATGGTGGCACATGCCAGTAATCGCAACATTACCCCTCTCAGGGTTGAGACAGGAGGATCTCACATTCCTGACATACATACACAGGTAGACTCCATGTTCAAAAAAGTAATAAAAACAAAACAACAGCAACAACAAATTCACCAAAACATAGCCATCTGTTAAGGAGAACTATAAAATGTATTATATTTCAAGCAAAATCATTTCAAAGTCAGTTCAGTAGGTACTTGAGATTTTATCATTTGTGTGCCCAGCATCATGAAGAAAGTCCTATATAAAATTCCAGTCCCACAACTGCATAGTTAAAGAGGGAGAAATGGAGACGATACACCGTTTACAGGTGGAGCCGGAAGTACTTGCATACCCACCATTTTCAAAAGGTCAGCAGATTCCTGATTAGTCATTTCTTGGTTATTCAATCTTCTGCATTTCCCCAGGTGATGTCACAGCAAGAGAGAGGGAAAAAAGGCACACGTGACACACTGGCATTTGCGGTTCTTACTATATGCTAATGACTCGAAGACAGTATGTTAGTATGATTTAAATACCAAGAAATTGCAGGCTGCTCGCTCAGCAAAGAATTTCCTCTATTTAGTAAAATTTTAGAATGAAAGTATTATGTCAAGAGTTGGAAACTCTCTTCTAAGAACTAAAATAGTACTGATAAGTTTGAATACAGAGGTAAAATGGACTACATATTTGCAATAATAGACTCTACTGCAAGATTTGTGACATCTATCTATCTATCTATCTATCTATCTATCTATCTATCTATCTATCTACATACACACACACACACAGGTCTCATTCTGTAGTCTAGGTTCGCCTTGAACTCCTGGGTAACCTCCTGCGTCAATCTCCTTCTGTTGTGGAATTAATGGTGTGAACCACTATGCTTGGCTTTGCAAGTATATATTATCAACACTTTTTCTACACAAAGGGTGAAGCCTGTGAGAAAAGTGTGTTCCTAGTGCCAAATCTACAAAGGAATTAAAATAAAAGAAGAAACATAATACACAAAAGTATTTTCCCTTCAAGTTTTTCAAAAACTGTTCATCTGTCTCTTCTCCCTACTGTGTCTAGTTAGTGTGCCCGCATGTGCATGACGTCATTCGCTAGAGTGTGGGAACCCACCCGTGGTTAAATGTCTAGAGAAAAGTGATCTTGTCCAGCAGCCACCAATTGTAAATAGCTCCTCAGTTAGAGGACTTTGAGAGAGCCCTTCCCCCTCCATGCTAAATTTTCTTAAGTTAAAACCTTTTTGTGTGTAAAAATCTGTGTTGTGTTTGCACTTAGGAAAGTGTTTGGGACAAAGCCGGTACGCAAGGTGTTTGTCAAATAAAATGAGGATTTTTTTTGGAGGCTGCTGGGTAAACTTTATATCCATTAAACCAAAGGAAAATACACCTTTTCACTATTCTGGTTTTGTCCTATAGTATAATTCTTAGAGACAATTACTAATTTTTCCCATACTGACTTTATTTTTACTTGACTCCAGGTAAGTAAAAATATAATGATCAAAACCCCGTTTTGAAATAGCTAGGAAGGGCTGGTGATGTAGCTCAGTGGTAGAGGACTTGCCTAGAATATCGTCCTGGACTTGATCTTCAGCATGACATAAAAACAGAAATAAATTAGTGGGAGCTGAAGCCACACTGCTCTGGCAGAGGATTAAGTCCTGTTTCCAGCACCCACATCAGGCCCTTCACAACTGACAGTGCTGGTTGCCTCCAAACTAGTGGCAATCCTCCTGCCTTATTGCTGCAGTTACTGGGGTTATAGGTAGACAACCGTCACACTTGGCAGCTGCCGGCTTTTACTCATTCACATATGCTCTGCCAATGTCAACCCAGCTTTCCTTCTGCCGAGTGCTCACCAGTGTGACCGGATTTAACCTCAGCTCATGGGAGTAAACCCGTGTGAATACGACAGCATGGTGTCCAAACCTCACTTTGAGGCCTGTGTTGTGGTGAAAGTGTAAACACACACAGAAAGACAAAGTTGCCCGCCTTCTGGGACTCTCTGAAAGAAGATACCGACCATCAGACTGAGTATTTTTAACCAGCGGTCTTGTAAGCCTACACCTGGTGCAGATAAAGGGCCAGCTTGTTCTGCCAACTGTGGCAGATGCTTCAGGAGGAGAGCTGCTGGAAAAACAGCGAGCACAGAAGACACAGTCAAAAATAGAATGCGCTCCCCTTGAACTATGAACTCTCTTCAAAGGAAGCTGTAGAGTCTTAACATCTGGAATCCTGATCTCTGAACTAGAAAACACTGCAAACTGGAAAACAATTCCTCTGCGCACTCTCAGTAGGAGCTTCAGGTTTCTAAGCGTGGTAACGCAAGGCTGTGTAGAACAAGGCTGAAGAACGAAGCAAGAGGTAAGGACTTAAGTTTGTTATGTAAGAATTTGTTACTGCCTGTCATTCTGAGGCTACAGTTGTTTTTTTTTTTTTTTTTAATCACTAAGATGGGTAACCTGTCTACGTTAACAATTTACTTGCTTTAGAACAGACTTTAAAGATTATGAGTGTAAACTGAGTATCTTTAAAAGCTTGTTTCACTGTGGCTCACTGGAAAGTAGAAAAAATAAACTGATTAACATAGCTTTTAAGTGGCGACTCTGCTTTAGTTTTGATGCTTGTAGAAACAAGAAAATTACACTGATAAGGTAATGAAATTTTACAGTGTACTGTGTTCTGTCTCTTACATGAGAAAAGGAACACCTCACTATAATAGGGAAAGGGCTCTGGCAGCAGTATTAACTGTGCCTGGCAAAGTCATTATTTTTATTGCACCTCTCTCAACTAACCAAGACTATCTGTCTTAAGTTCGGTGTATTAAGATGTCAAACTTTATAGGGTGATTATCATATGGAAATATAAACTATAAATTCATTTTAATTGATGACTGTAATAATTTCCTTGTTTCATTTAAACAATTCTCCCTAGATGGAAATAAACATCCACAGACTGGAAAGTGAAACACTCTCGATACAGGCAGTAAACAAAACTGAAACTGAGCAGCTGAAGGTGTAGGAGGAAACAGAAAAAAAAATCAGACTGTCTATTTCAGCAATTTATGCCAATTTTCTTAGACAGGCAAACAACAGTCAGGATTTTACGGATAATTGTGAAGTGTGTAAGCTCAGAACTAGTCCTCCAGCCTACCGCCCATGTCGGTTCTCACACCCAATGGTGTTTCAAGAGAATAAACCAAGGTACGGAGAAATTATGCTGCGGACCCTGAACAGACTCTGACTTCTTCCCGCCGTATACTTTCTCCGGGAACAGCAGCACAGGTCGTGACAGCATCCTGTAAAACTGAGCATGCTGCTCGTGTAACAGTCTGGAGCACAGTCGGATTTTTAAGAAGAAGCTACGTGAAACTTGGAAAACTCAATTATTTAAATCTGATGCAGGGCCAGGCCTGGGGGCCCCTCCCTGCAGGAAGCACTAGGAGGTTAGAGGCCAGCACGGGCTATATTAAAGACCCCGTCTTCAAAGAAACCGGACATAGCCACAGCATTCTGGATTTCACTGCAATACGTATGTATGCTCTGTGTTTTGAGGATGTGCTTTTGGAGGTTCGGGGTGTCCAATCTAAGACTTATCCATGTTAGGCAAATGGTCGATCACTGAGCTACACCCCCATTCCTTAGATGTATGAATTTTAATTTTCAATATGCAAGTTGTTACTTTATAAATATAGCTTTTATCAATTCATAAAATATACCAGTATCACTTCAGCCTACAACAGCCTGGGTAAGGTTCACACGCATAAAAATTAATTTTATCACCAGCCATTATAAAGTCACGTGGCTCTGTGCACAATTAAGTCAAATAGCAGCTGAACATGTTGCTCTCCACTTCTGAGAGCACTTCGCCTCTGTCTAACAGCCACATGAGAATAAGAATGCTTAGAATCAGAGTCTGTAAAGTTTAGGTACTGTGCCTAAGACATCAGAAAGTTTTACACACATACCTGTGCAAACTACAAAGAGTTTTACATTTCTCTACATTAAATTGGTCTACTTTTACTTCCTACTCTGTACATGTACAGACCAAAGTTTCATTAAGATAAAGAACCAAACTAGAGCCACGGCAAATTAAATACAAGAAACCCAGGTCTTCAGGAAGAGCGAGCACTTACTTTGAAGGTAACCGGACACGCCACAGCAGCACCAGCAAAAGAAAATTCTTCCTGTCTGAGACGCACTAATATAGCACAAGGTGCAGCGGAGGGCGGCTCCCAAAGCCTTGACTAAGCTTATGCCAACAGTCTTGTGACGCAAGCGAAAAGTACTTCACTATGCTATGGGAGGCAGGCCTGCCGGCTCGCAGCTCGATACCATTTAGGTTACAGAACCTAACTAGCTGGGACAACATGATGGCTAAGAGCTGGTAGGTAGCTCAGCATAGGAGCAAATGCTCTGCGACCTGAGCAGGAACTGTTAGTGAAACTCTTAAGCCGCCCCTTTCCTGTTTCTGATTGCACAACACTTGTAACGTGTGCGCTCCTCTGGGGGACACTCCACTTCGAGACAAAGTCAAAAGATGAAATTGGTTGCTGCAGCCAGAGAAGGGGATAGGAGGCTGTTGCTCAATTTGGCAGAGTTCAGTTTTTAAATGAAGACAGTTCTAAGGGTGGTGTGTAGTGGTGACAGTGCACAGCAACACACATGTATTTAGTGTCACCAAACTTGACTTAAATGGTATCTCTTGTATTATACATATTTTACTCCAGTGGGATTTAACATTTATTCCAGTGCTTTGATATTTTCTTTATATATTTCCATAAGTTTTTTTTGGTAAATTTTTAATAAAAAACCATGTCAAAACTATGAAAACTAATTATAAAACTGGAAAATACAGGTACAGCAGCGTCCACTGGGATCTCAGCTACTAAGGACCCAAGGCAGGGAAATCATTGGGTCCATGTGGGTCAGCCTGGGTAATACAGCATGAGGGGTTCTGCTGTTGTTATTAAAAAGGGAGCTAAAGAGAGACAGGTTTTTATTTTAGAAACAAAACTAGTCTAGTTTTTAACCTGAGCAGCAGGAGGGCAATATGCTAATACTGTCCCAGGGCCTGCTAGATAAGGTACAGTACGGGCTCTGGAAGCTTTATCGTCAGGCGCATGGTTAAGCTGCACACATGTAAATATTTTTTTGTGAAATAGCAAGTTTGTGGTGTTTTGGGTTTTTTTTTTTTTTTTTTTTTTTTTTTTTTTGTAGAGAAAGGATCTTAATATGTTGCTGCTCAGGCTGGGCTCTCCAAGCGATCTTCATGCTTCCTAACCTCCTGAGCTACAGGAACTGCCCACTGTAAGTCCACATTACCTCAGCTGCACATTGACTGTACAGTACTTGTGGGCGCACCCAATGCTTGGCCTCAAACTCAGAGAGGCACCATCACCACCACCACCACCACCACCACCACCCCTGTCCTGGATGGGTGTGCATATTCACATGTGTAGGGGTGGTGGTGGTGGGGCTTGTGCAGGTCAGAGGTCATCTTCAGGTGTCTTCTTCCTTAATATTGAGACAGAGTCTCTCATTTAAGCCTAGAGCCTGATCATTCAGTTAGGTAAGCTAGTCAGCGTGACTTGAGCATCCCTGTTATCTGCCTCCTTGGTACAGGGATTACAGACACTAAACCTGCTTGGTAGTTACATGGGTGCTGGGAATCCTAATTGCAGTCTTCTGTGACAAGTGCTTTACCCACTGAACCATTTCTCCAGCCCCACGCACTGCTATAAGATTTAATAAGGTTCAGTAACAAAACATTTCTCTAAGAGGAAGACCTATTATATCTAATTAGTGAAGAGACTTCAAGGACAGCAAACAAAAACCTGCTAACTACGCTCACCTAAAGATTACCTCCTTTAACAAAGGAGTTCAGGAGATACGCTTCCATACCTTCTGAGAGACTATTTAGAAATATTACTGAAAGCTGTAGATATAAATATTCCTTCCACATACCACTTAGGGTAGAGTAACTTATCCTAAAGAAATATGGTTGTAAACAAAGATATAGTTGCAAAGATATAGACTGTAGATTTGTTTGTAATACTAAGAAACTGCAAGTGGCCATAATGACAACACCTAGTTTGATTCTTAAAACAGGAGAGAGAAGGACATAGTAACAAATGCCTGGAATCTAGCCCTTGGGAGGTAGAGGCAGGAGGATTAGGAATTCAAGATCATCTTCCTCTGAAGAGTTGGAGGCCAGCCTAGGTTACATGAGATACTGTCTCAAAACCAAAACAAAACATGGAACGGTAACAAAACATATAACTCCAAACACAAGACAGGTAGGGTGCGGCTAGGTGGCCAGGTCTGTTTAGCATGTATAGAGACCCAGGCTCTAGCCCAGTGCCACAAACACAATAAAAGAGGTGAACACACTCTGGTACATACATGAAACAGACGTATAAAGCTCTTATAAATGATCATTGCTGAACGTGGTGCTTCAGGCCTATAATCCCAGTACTTGGGAGGAAGGAGCAGGAGGGTCATTGTTCTAGGCCATTTGATGCCCAATAGTAAGACCCCATCTTAGAAACAATAAAAGAAAATATTATAAGTACCTAAAATTTCCTAGCTCCTGTGTGGGTGTGGCTCAGTACACAGCATGATCACATACAATACCTGAGGCCCTGGTTTGATTCCAAACAGTGAAAAAGTAAGTAATTAAATGACATGAACAAATAAATAATTTCACTACATTCTAAGTGTGTGGACATTCCTCACTGTCTGTCCCTACCACCCTGCATATCACACGTCACTATTCTTCCATTCTCTAAGCGAGTAGAAGTGTGCAGCTGCCAAGCAGCAGCAGTAGAGTCAGTCTAGGAAGCAGAGGAAGTCTAAAACAGGACACATGATAGGACCCACGGCAGCACCAACCGCCCACTTTTATAGCCTGAGTTTTAGAATAGAAATGATTTCCTTGGGAAATAAATGGTGTGTTTAAATGTGAGAGTCAGCAGCAAATAGTAGTAATCTTTTCCATAATCAGAAAAGGTGAAGAACATCCTGACAGATAACAAACCAAGACCTTTATTGGGAGCCAGGTCCTCATAGCACACCCCAGTCTGCAAAGCAGAGGCAGAAGAGTCACAAGCTCCAGTAACAAAGGCTACATAGCAAAGCCTTGTCTAAATCATAGAAATAAGAACTCCCCCTTGAGGGACTTTGATTATTAAAGTCCGAGTAATATTTGCTTAGGGTTTGCACTGGCAGTCCTGAAGCATGCCAACGCCCTTGACCAACACCCTAACCCAGTCAGGCTAGCATGAGAGAACTCCACACAACTTCCTTCCGCAAGGTAAAGCAATATGGAACCTGGAGAAGCTAAGATACTTATTACCTTTATGTTAGCTAGACACAAAAGCTTCAAGGTTTTTCCTTTTAAGTCATGTGGTGCTACTGCAGGTAATGATGTGCACACGCTTGTGCCACTGGAGGCAATTATGTGCAAACACTCACATGGGAGTGCTTGAGAAATAACAATGTTTCTGCTGTAGGATGGCTCAGCAGACAAGACGGGTGACACCTAAGTTCCATGCCCCAGACCCACACTAGAAGGAAAAAACCACCAACTCAATAAAAAGCTGTCCTCTCAACTCCACACCATGGCAGTGCACACACACATCACAGAGTCAGTATGCCACAGAAAGTATTGAATGACTCCAACTTCAAGACACTCCGAATGGGACTGGCACACATATGACCTGACGTCCTTCAGCAAAGGGAAAACCACTGGTCTCCAATGGCATGCCACTGGGTGTATCATGACTCTTTAGGGCAGGGTGCAGGCCAGCACACAACAAATCCAACGGTATTTTTGTGAACTTTTTGTTTCATATTGGCCTTTTTGATCTTACTGGTCTTTTGCTTGTTTGATTTTTGTGGGTTTTTTTTGTCTTTTTTTTTTTTTTTGTTTAGAGATAGAAAGGGAAAGAGAGACAGAGAAACTATGAATGAGAATGAACAAGAACAGAGTTGAGTGGTAGGAAAGTAGAGAGGATTTGAGAGGAGTTGGTAGAGAGAAGTGATCAAAATGTATTATTGTAAATTTTAATTAAAAACAAACATTGGGGGGCTGCGGATTGTAATACATCGGCCTAGCATTCATGAAGCCCCAAGTTTGAACCTCAGAATCACAAAACAAGCAACACCAACCCGATTTTGTCTCCCATTGTTTTCCCACTGTTTTCTGAGAAGGGCTAGAGAGAAGCTGGAAGTCACAGAGATTGCTCTTGCGCAGTGGAGTGGACTTTCATCTCTGCACTGGGACTGGCCTGGCCGAAACCAGCCATACCCCTCCTAAGGGCAAGCACTAGATGAGAAATTCAGATGCCAAAGGGCAGAGGTTTCCACGCAGAACAGGGCTTATTATCTGCCAGGTTTTCTCCATTTTGAGACTGTAATTGATATTTATCTTATTAGCAAGAATGGTGATCTTTATCAAAGGAGAAAGTGAAATCCATTTGTGTGTTTGAGTAACGACCCAGAGCTTTTTAGTCTGTCAATTATTTAACTGAATTAAAATTATTTCATAGTTTGCCACTACGAAGTTTCTTAGGGCTTGGTCAGCCCTGAAAATACAATGACCTGAGTTCAGTCTCTAGAACTCCCATGTCAAAAAGCTGGGTGTGGTGATCCATACCTATAATTTCGGGGACCTGGTGGCCAGCCAGCCTCACCTACTTGGTAAACTAGTTGGTGGGTTAAGATCTGCATGCTGGGGAGAGTCTGGCTCCATCTCAAGAGATATTAAAACCTTCCCCCCAAACCTCAACCGAGAGGATTGAGTTTTCAAACTTGCTTTGAGAAACTCAAACATGGTCTTTAACTGGCTACATCTTTCTCTTAGTTAAAAGGCATTCTATGCTTCCTGCTAAGTGCACCATGTCCTGGTATCTCAAGATCCGCGTCTTTCAAACTATAGTCTCCATCTTCTTGCAGCGGAATCTCTGTGCTGGAAACAGAACAAGGTGAAAACGTTTCTCTGTCTTGGACTTTCCACCATACAGTTTGTACTCTGCTGAAAAGGAACACTACTGTACTGACTGCTACTTTGTATAGGGCATATTAGCAAAAATGGGAAGGTAAGCTTTTCCTATTGGTGCATTGTTGAGACATTTGTACACTGTGAAGAGGCATTGCTGTGGTTGGTATAATAAAAAGCTGCATGGCCAATAGCTAGGCAGGAGAGACAGGCAGAACATCCGGGCAGAGAGAAGAAGAAAACACAGGCACACAGGACAATGGATATGAAGAACGAGCTGGAAACACAGAATGGGAGAGAGGTAAAAACCATATGGTAGAATGTAGATTAATAAAAATATAGGCTAATTAAAGTTATAAGAGCCAAGCTTACATAATTAATAATAAGTCTCCGAGTCGTTATTTGTGGGCTGGTGGTCCTCACGAGAAACACACTGCAGCACGTCCTATCTGATACACCTAAACGGAGAATACACAGAAAGACAACTCGCCACACAGCAAGGTTTTCACGGCTCACAATGTCAACAGCACATGGCAAGCACGGCTAACTGGTTATGGACACTGCTCAGTGGAAAAACACATGCTTTAGTTAGCATGTAGGCGGCCTTGGGAAGACTCCTCACACAAAGACAATTCAAGCCTGCAATGGGAGGCCGAGACTCACAAGAAAAAAAATTAAAAATTCAAAAAGCACAAGAAGATAAAACATGATTAATTGCACTTTTAGATTCTAAAGTCTTAAACACACTAATTATGAACTAAATTGAATGCTGTAATAGCCGATACAAGCAAATCAAGTATCACTAAGTGATCAGAGATGAAGGACAGGATCACAGGTGATTTTCTTTCATTATTTTCTGTAGTGACTATGTCGCTAACTACCTGGAAACATCAATTTCAGGCAGCCAGACTCAGCTTTAGCTAAAGACAGCTGTGCTACTAATTAGAGCTAGATGTTTTACTAGCTAGGCGGATAATGCAGCTGTACTTGGTCCTGAGTGCAGGCTATGAATGCAAAGAGATTTAGCATCTCCTTCTAGAGTTCTCCAGTTCCAGTGCACCATAGGCTCCCTTGTCTTTCCAGCTTTTTTTTTTTTCACTTTCTTCCTTTGTTTTCTTTTTAAAGACAGGGTTTCACTATGTAGCCACAGGCCTTGAATTTACCCTCCTCCCTTAGCCTCCCATGTGCTGGGGTTGTGGTGTGCCCTATACCATTCATGACTCTAGTCTTTTCTTTTTTTCTCCCTAGCGCTAACTAATGTCAGGAAGTTTCAGTTTTACATTTCAGCCTGCTACAAGGCTTAGAAGTTCTCAGCTGGCTCCTACCTGCTTCTCCAAGAACTCATCTGGTGACTCATTTGTTCTTTTAGCATTCTAACAGTTTGACAAGACAGACTTGGCAGATGTACTAACAGATCGCTGCTCCCGGGGAAGCTGCATATAAGAATATGGTGATTTGAAGGCTGGAGCAATGGCTCAGTGCTGAAGAGTACTGGCTGCTGGAGCAGAGGACCTGGGTTCTGTTCCCAGCGCCCACACAGCAGCTTAGAATCATCTAGATCTCCAGTTTCAAAGGATCTGATACTCTCTTCTGATCTCCCTAGGCAACAGGCACACACAGTGTTTTGCAGGCAAAACACTCACATGCATAAAAAATACTCATACACATAATCTTTAAAAATGTGACTTTATTATTATTTTGGCATTTATTGTTTTCTCAAATGCACTAGTTCCTGAGATCCTGTGTCTTTGACTCTCAAGCAACCTGAACTACAGGTGGGCATACCACAGCTGGCTTTGACTGTGGGATTCTTTTTCATGCTGTCTCCAACATAAATCCCCAAGCAGAAGGGCATGGAGGGCAATATAAATGAGGCACTGTGGTGTGACGTGGTGGAGGAGACAGACGGGAGCACAGGGAGCTTTTCAGGCCACACTATCTCCTTCCTTCTTGAAGAAGGAACTTACCAAACAGATTAAGCAACCTCTCATCAACTGTAAGACAATTTGTACCTTCTTATTCTAGTAGATTAAACAGGGAGAGAAGGCAGGCAGCAAGTACACAAAATGACAGAGAGACAATGAAGTCTGTCATAACTGTCGTCACAGCTCAGTGGTTAAAGTAACTCTGAGGGCTGACACCTTCAGTCCGGGCACCCAGGAGGCAGGAGCAGGCAGATCTCTGTGAGTACAAGGCCAGGTTACATAGTGAAGTCCATGAAATCCTGACTTAAAAAAGGAGTACATGACCTAAAGACAATGGATATATACTAAGAGAAAGCCTGAAGTACAAACACAGGGTCAGAGAGGTAGCTCAGCTCGCAGCTCTTGCCTCATTAGCAAGCGTCTGGTTCAATCTCCAGCAGTACACACGGAGTACAGCTACACTGGAGAGCACCATCTACTGCGGGACAAGACTGCCACCTGCTGACAGAAACCTGCACCGTGGTGATGTTTCTGACTTCTGGGATTGTGTGTGTGTTGCTTGTTGTTTTTGGATAGCTGTTTGCTTAATTAAACAATTATTTATTTTAGGGCTAGAGTCTCACTATGCACCCCTGGCTGGCCTGGAACTCACAGGCTCCATTTGTTTCTGCCTCCTGAGCGCCACCTGCCCAGTCAAGAACGATACCTTAAGGGCGCAGAACAACCGCTCGGGTAAGGTGTTCGCACTACATTTAAATCAGAGGTGAAAAACGCCAATGTTGTGGCACACGCCTATCGGCCCGGGGCACACTATGCAGTTAGAAGCTAGACGACATAAGAAACGAGAAAGGGCCACCTCATTCTCCTGGTTCTGGTTTAAATATCCTGCTGACCAAGATCTTCAACATAATGAACTACGTGCCCTGCTGAAGGAGCACCACAAACTGTTAAATGACTAATGAATGAACCACAGTTAACTCCCTGTCACCCATGCACAGGGAAGGGTTTCTTTCATTCCTGATGGTTTTGGTTTTGCTGCTGCTTCCTCCTCTTCCTCCCTTCTTCCTCCTTTTTTTTTACATTAGGATGGGATCTCATGTAGTAGCTGATGCTAGCTTGGGATAGCCCAGTGTAACCTAGAATGTAGAAATCACCCTGCTCCAGTCTCCCAAGTACTAGGATTATAAGCATGAGTCACCAACCTGGCCTTGATAAATGTCCCGTATCTATCTGAAAGCTCGCACAATGTACCCATTAAGTCTCCGCTTTAAGGACAGAATTCTTTGAATTAAAAAAAAAAAAATAACTAGAACAGTACACACACACACACACCCAATCTAAATTTAGCTGCTGACTAACTAGCTCTGATGGCCCCAATCAGTTCCAGTACTTGAAAGTTTACCAGGATTGTAAGTTTGAGGCCAGCCCTGCCTACACAGTGATTTCTAGAACAGCTGGGGGTACATAGCAAGAACCTGTGTTTTAAAGAAATGTTTCCCCATCCCCAAATCACAGCTACTTCTGAGGCTGCTGGGGCATGGCCAGGGGCCCTTTATGCTCTGAGGGGTTCCTCAAAGTTGCACAGCTGGCAATGAGACCAGTCTTCAGGAGGCTAAGGAAAGAGGATCATGCATTTGAGGTCGTATGTGGTTATATAGCAAGACCTTGTCTCAAAATAAGATAACCAATCCACAAATAAGGATGAAAATCAGATAATTGTGGGGACAAATGCCCAATGGTAGGGTACTTGCTGAGCATGTGTCAGGCCCCGAGTTCCATCCCCAGCAGAAGCACAATTTAAAATACACGTTCTTTATGTACCCTAATTATCTCTAGATGACTGCGATGCTTCCATTACTCTTAAAGCATGACAAGGCAAATGAGGATTCTGCACAGAATCATATATGGAACATCTCAACTACAGTTCTACAAGTTGAAGCTTCTCTCTCTCTCTCTCTCTCTCTCTCTCTCTCTCTCTCTCTCTCCCTCCCTCCCTCCCTCCCTCCCTCCCTCCTGGTGATGGTGTTGAACCTCTAATCCTACTGCCTCAAACTCTTAAGTGCTAATGGGATGACAGGCGTGTGCCATAACCCACGGTTTATGGGTTGAAGAGATTGACTCCAGACCTCCCTGCATACCAGGCAAAAGCTCTCCAACTGACCTACAGTGCCAGACCCCATCAAGCTTGTTTTAATGTCTTCTCTCTAGTTTTAGATTGCAGTAAGGTCAATTTTAGTGTAGGCTCAGAGAGAAACATCAGTTTAACCATGCAAAAGTCATTCTGGATTTTACTCATTATCTGCTTTTAAAAACCACACAAAGAACCTTCAGCAAATGAGCCACTGACACTTACAAACAGCATCAGAGAAGTGCAACATAAAACTACCCTGAGATGCCCCCCGACCCCAGTCAGAATGGCAGTCACTAGGAAGTAAGAAATGCGAGCGAGGCTGTGTCCTCTGTTGGAAACGCAATCTGGCCCAGCACAGTGGAAAAGAGTAAGAAGAGTTAAACACACAAACAAAAACTTCAACCCCATTCTGGCCTAGTCCCTTTTGGATACTGTAAATACTTCCAGTGAAGAATACGGGTGGTTAAAAAATAATCCAACTAATGCCTGAACCCCAGATGTTTAAGTCCCAATACAAAAACATAAGAAGCATGAAATACATTAAGGGAGCAGAACTCTTAAAAATTACTACTCACATATTAACGTCCTCTAACAAGAATAAATGAGATGAAACCCCTGAGAAGGAACTCAAAATGCTTATCACCCTATTCCACTGAAGAGACTAGGAGTAGAACAAACATCTCAGCGTAATAGAGGCTAATACAACACATCTATAGCCAACCTCATACAAAAGGAAGGAAAACGCAAAGTATTTCCACTAAAGTTAGGAATAAGGCAAGGGTGTCCATTTTTTCCACTCACTAAATATAGCACTTTAAGTCTTAGCTTGGACAAAAGAAGGAAATAAATGGGACACAAATAAGAAAAGAAGTCAAAGTATCCTTATTTGAAGATGCTATGACTCTGTGGAAAAAGACTACCATGACTGTACCTCATCAGAAGACTCTTAGCACTGATAAACACTTTTAGTAAGATACGGATATACAAAATTAACACAAAACATCTGCAGGCTTTCTACATACCAATAACAAACATGCTAAGAGAGAAACCAGGAAAGCAATCCCATTCACACTTGCATCAAAAGGTAAAATACTGGTGGCTGAAGAGATGGTTCAGCAGTTAAGAGCACTGGTTGCTCTTCCAGAGGACCTGGGTACAACTGCCTGGAACTCCAACTCCAGGGCATCTGACACCTTTTTCTGGCCTCTGAAAGTATCTGCACTTATGTGTGTTACACACACACAGAGAGAATTAAAAATGAGATATTATTTTTAAAGTATTTTATAATAAATCTAAAGAATGAACTTAAAAGTCCTGTACAATTTTAGAACACCCTGTTTAAGCGGAGAGCTGGCTAGACCTGAGTGCACAACTGTCTTGAACCCAAGAGAGATGAAGGCAGGAGGATCAGTTGAGCCCAATTTAGATAACAGTCATAAGATTCCTTTCAAAAAAGGCCAGGTGGTGATGGTGGTGCACATCGTTAATCCCAGCACTTGGGAGGCAGAGGAAGATGGATCTCTGTGAGTTCAAGGCCAGCCTGGTCTACAGAGTGAGTTTCAGGATAGAACTGTTTCACAGAGAAACCCTGTCTCAAAACAAAACAAAACAAAACAAAAAAATCCTTTCGACAAAACAACCAAATAAAAATCAAACAAAAACCAGAAATCTGCAGATAAGCTGGTCCTTATCTGCAGATTTCTGGTTCAGACTGTGTATATGAGATAGGGCTACATAATTTACTTTCCTTACATCACTAGCAAGTGGAAGAATTGCATTTAAAAATAATGCTCTATAGTCTCTGGTTGCTTTTGGGAGCCTTGGCTCACACTGCTCTGTTAAGGAAAAACCTCTCAATCCCCAGTCAATGGTTATGCTGCTAGTTCAAATATGGAAAGTAGACGGAAGGAAAGAGTGAACAAACTAAAAATGTGAGGCATTTGCTCGAAACTGGTCCATCTGTCACACAGATGAATACACAATAAAAGAAATAAGAAAAACACAATAACTGTTTCAGGAAGTAACCCTAAGCTCACTAACTAGGCTATCAGACTCGTCATTAGGGTTGAAAACTGACGTGAAAATAAGTGGAGAAGCACAACACGTGTGACTCAGAAGACAAAGTCACGTGGCCTGCCATAAACATTTCTGGAAGAGTTGCTAATTTGGGAATTCAAGATTATCTCAGGGGCTGGGGAGATGGATGGGTGGTAGAGTACTTACCTATGCTCAGACAATTCGAGAAAAAGAGAGTTGGCCACAAAGATAAGGTCAATGTCAAGAGTTTAGCGCACTTACATCTCTTATCTTAAAATAGGTTTTCTTCAAATTTGATGAACTGACTTTTACTCCTCAAATACTGCCCTCAGTGTCATCTCCTACTTCCTTGAAGACATGATTTCTCACAAATTAGATTTGTTTATTCTTTTTAAAGTCCATGACCTTTGGGTTTAATTTTATCAGTACTTCCCTCTTCTCAAACCTGAACAATGTACCTCATAAACCACCTTTATTTTCAACTGGAAACAAGGTCATAGTTCTTAAGGTCTTCAACTTTGTTTCATCTTCAAACTTGGTTCGAGGTTGTATTCTCTGAAAAGCAAAATTATAAGACACACACACACACACACACACACACACACAGCACTACTGTTAAAACACTTAAATCTCTCTCAGTTTCTTTCTCTTTCCCCTCCTCCCTTTACTTCTACTGAAGTCTAAAGCATATACCTTTTTCTTAAGGAACCCAACTCCTAGTTTCTGCTGATCCACGCTGAAGTTGTTTTCTATGGTGTAGGACCTGCCTTCACATGAATACCACTTGAGTCACTCCACCTGATTGAAATGAATCATACTAAACACACATACAATGTAAAATCCTGGTACCCGAGAAGTGGGCTGTCTCAGTCACCTTTCCCACTGGTGTGACAAAACACCATGACCCAAGGCAACTTACAGAAGGAAAGCATGATGTGGGAGTGATTTCTTATTAATAAAGAAACTGCCTAGGCCCATTTGATAGGCCAACCCTTAGGTAGGCGGAGTAAACAGAACAGGATGCTGGGAGAAAGAAGCTGAGTAAGGAGTCGCCATGATTCTCCCACTCCAGACAGACACAGGTTAAGATCCTTCCTGGTAAGCCAGCTCATGGGCTACATAGAATATTAGAAATGGGTTAGAACAATATGTAAGAGCTAGCCAATAAGAGGCTAGAACTAGCCGGGCCAGGCAGTGTTTGAAAGAATACAGTTTCTGTGTAATTATTTCTGGGCTTAAGCTAGCCATGCGGGCGGCCGGGTGCCGGGG